TAACTTAGTAATGTAAACATACCTTTTTCGAGCTATTTCCGATACTCCGCTATCTATTACTCCTATATTAACGTGCTTCTACTAAGCCTACTATTCTTAAATACTTTGCGGTACTATCGGCCGCAGTTAATAACGTCGTCGCGCAATATTTGCTCGCCGCCGGTAGCTTAGAAGGTCTCGTACGCGACTTTATAGTCCTTGCTACGTATTCGATCCTATACTTAGTACGGCCGCTAGCTAGTATACACCTACTAACTAACCGCGTTCTAAAGAGCGCTATATAGGCGATATATATCTATTTTTTACAGGTAATAGCCCGGATAGTACTCGACTAGGCGCCGATTATTATAGAAGATAGTATAGCTAACTACTACGCGATTGCCGTCCGGTTTATCTTTATTCTCGAGCGCTATATTCTTATTAACGCGTATAGTTAGCGGATACGCTACGGCTTCTTCTATCTTCTTTTCCTTCTTCTTCTTATATCTACTATAGTGCTTCTACCTCTACTAATGCGCTTTAAAGCCAAATCGACACTTATATAATATATACTAGCGACTAAGTTTATCCGCTCGGCGCGCTATATATACCTAGAAGTTGTTAATATATAGCTAAATTATATTAAACTCCGCCGCTATTACGGTAAAGCCCTTCTCGCTATTATTATTGTTAGGGTCGTCTAGAATAGCTAACTACTTCTTACGTAGCGCTCTTAGATTAGTAGGCGCGCGTAGAATAGCATATCTATCTTCGATAACTATTACTTTAATACGCTTTCCGCGGCGACGAGGTATCGGCGCGCTATCGACTTTACTACTACTACTATTACTATCGACCTTACTACTACCGCTATTACTATCGACCTTACTACTACTACTATTACTACCTTCTTTATCGCGTTCTTTAGCGCCTTCTTTACTATAGCCGCTATCGACCTTACTACTACTACCGTTACTATCTTCCTCGTCGCGTTCTTTAGCGCCTTCTTTACTATAGCCGCTATTCTTACTATCTTCTAACGCCTAGTCCTTATTACTAGTATTTAGTAACTAAATATACTCGACCGAAGGAGGCTTTAACGCGTTATAGTTATTAACGAGATAGTCGATAATATCGTCGCGTTCCGCCGGATTTAATAGACTCGAAATAGATAGCCGCTCGGTCGTAGAAGCAACGATTAACGCGACTCTCGTAGTACTAGGTAGTAGCGGCGGCGGCGGCGGCGACAATAAGGTCTTAGAAGCTATAATATAATAGAGATAGTACTATTTTAATAAAAGCGAGTAAATACAAGGCGGCGACAATAATACCTCCTATAAAGCGTATACTACTACGAGCGATAGTAAGGGCAATAATATAGGAAATAATAAATAAACGCGTCTATGCGCCGGACGGCTATGGCAGTAGAAACTACTGCTCTGTGTCTTAGTTAGCGATATTCTATTTCGGGTTGACCTAGGGTAGCTGACTGCTAGCGCTTTAGGTATTATACTGGCAGGCCACCATTTTAGCAGCGACGATCTTCGCTGATCTTAGCAGAAGCCACATGCAAAGCTTAAAGAAGCTTATTATGTACCCACTTTCCCGCGAAGGAAGCAGATCCCCACCACAGCGAATCACAAGTTTCAAAACTGCCCGAACAATGTGTGCCTCGTTTCCGGCTCTCGCGGTGAAAATCTGAGGTCCGATATTGCAGATCCTTTCAGCTGCCTCACCAATTCGTGCCAGCCGCGGGCAACGGAGAACAGCAGCGTGGGATCGACATATATGTTCACCACTCAAGGCATGGAGCGGAAACTCTACAGTATTGCCATGAGGTGGGCTTTGCATGGTTACAGCGCTTGCGTGCTGCCAAGATACACCAGTAGACCGAGTAGGATCGCACATCGCAGCGAAGAGCACTCGAGCTTAGGACTACAATTCCAACATCTTGCCCACGTGGAGTTGCTATTCTCATTCATCCTCCCGCTCCTCTGTGTCTCAATCCAGGCCTTCAAATCTCTCTCAACTCAGCCTTTGATCGGATTGCCAAATCAAGATGGGTTATGTCAATCATGGCAGCGTGACTGCTGTTGGTATTGTGTTCCCAGTCTTGGGCTTGATAGCCCTGGCGACACGATTTTACGCACGAGTCAAGTACATGAACAGCAAGTTTGAGGTCGATGACATTCTCGTCGTGCCAGCAGCTCTGCTCACAATCGCTGGCGGTGTGGCGATGATTCTTGGGGCTCAGATGAGGTTCGTGGGAGGTCACACTCTCGATGAGACTCAGGAGGAATTCCTGCACACGATGGAGGAACGCCAGACGATGTTGGAAAAGGTGAGTCGAAATTCCTGCTGGCGTATGATATGAGTGCTGATCATCTCGACCTTAGTTCGAATATGCTTTCTGGATTGGACATGTCATGGCTATTGGATTCATCAAGCTTACTTTCCTGTTCTTCTTCCGACGCATCTTCAAGGGCCGTGGCTTCCGGACTGTATTCGACTATGTCAACTGGTCCCTCATTGGGCTTGTCACTGTCTGGACCGTCGCTTACGTGTCCTTGGAGATCTTCATGTGCGGTCTCAACTTCGACGCGGCCTGGACGACAGTCTATGCGCTCCGGCACTACTGTATGAACACTTTCGCTCTGTTGACATCTTGTGCAATTACCAGCTTTGCAATGGACCTTGCCTGTCTGGCGGTGCCAATGATTATGGTCAGCACTCTACGCATGTCGTTCAAGCGCAAGCTTCAAGCTTCCCTCGTGTTCGCACTAGCTATCTTGTGAGTGCTCGTGTGTTGCTTGGAAGCTCGACTGAAGCTGACTTTCTTTACCTAGCTCTGTGACTGCAGGTCTGCTGCGCATGATCGTCCTGATCCAGGTGCTCGAGAACAGCCTTTCATCTCCGATCATCGACCTCCTTGGCGAGAAGTTTGGAGTGGCTGACGACGAAGGGGTCATTTCACTCGTACTTTTCTGGACGTACGTTGAGATTGGCGTCGGCTTCCTGGTGGTGTGCTTGGTGGCGTGTGGAAGAGTGTTCGACGATGTCTCGACACCAGTCATTGCCAAGATCAAGTATGTCGCACGCTCAGTGGCGTCTCGGGGGTCCAGTGTGGCTTCCCACAAGAGTTCCAGCAAGTCGTCGACGTACTCCAACAGCTCGAATGGCAAAGAGAAAAGCAGCATTGTTGCGTCAACCAAAGTGGAGGTCCGATGTGAGAAGCGATCGGAGGCGGACATCTCGGCTGTTCCAGACTGGCTCATGGCGAGCAGAAGAGGCACTCTGGGTGACATTGGCATTGACATTGTGTGATGTGTTGAAGGCGGGCATGGTTGTTTTGAAAGTTTTTGATACCCCAACGCAGTTTTGACGTTACCAATGAGTGCTTGGAATGAGAACGAAGACCTGTTCGTCTTGCCGCCATGGACCTCGAGACCGGGTCAGCATTATCCAACGTACTAGCACGTAGTAAAGCCATAGCGCCAGACAAGACAGAATGTCGGTATAACAAGCCATCGCTTCCAGCATAGGGGTAGGTGTCGGTGCCATGCCATCGCTATTAGCTGCCGCATCTTCAGCGCCTTATTGATGCCATACCCAACGCCGGCGCTGGCAATGATTTCTGTGAGCGGCGAAGAAGGTGATGCACATTGGAAGAGATGGAGTGATTTTGGGGTGAGAAATGAGCGGCGTCACTGCCAAGCGAAACGTCTGAGGCTCCGCTCCCTTGTTTGCTTTGGAGCAGGGCTTGTGAGGACAGCGACACCTCTACCACGCCTCCTAAGACAATTTAACACATGCGCCGCCACCTCCACCTCCACCTTCCCTCCGACTTCTCACGATATCTTCTCAAGCACATCTCGCAGATGTCACACGTCAACGCCAACGTAGCCTCGGATCATGGACCAACCACTCCACCACCACCCCAACCTTGAACCGCAGCCAGTGCAACTACCAAAACCCTCGATCGCGACCTCCTTAGCAGGCACTGTACTCCTCATCTACCTGCTGAATCTCGTCCTTCAAACTTTCGATGCTCCAGTTCTGCCCTTCCAACAGATCATCTGGAATGCCATCGTCTACATTATTCCCACGCCACTGCTCCTCGATCCATCCCGGAGACAGGAGTTGAAGGCTAACGATATGCTTTCTCAGACACATGCCGCAAAGAGCGATGCTCTGCGTAGAATGCTGGGCCTCGGCGGACATGCCATTCTGCAGAGCCTGCCGCAAGCTGGAGTGGCCATCGGGCTTGGAAGCGTTGGCAGGAGACTGAGCATGGCCGTCAAGCCTGCAGTAACGAGTAATGCGCCTGCGGGACTTGGAAACTGGGACAACAGCTGCTATCAGAACAGCGTGCTTCAGGCGCTGGCGAGTCTGGGAGGCTTGAAAGATTGGCTACAGCGGACAGAACCACCGGAGAGCGATGCAGACAGCACAACGAACACAGCACTTCAGCGATTGCTTGAAAGGCTGAGAAACCAGCAGAATAATGGCCGACACATCTGGACACCCGCGAAACTGAAGAATATGAGCAGCTGGCAGCAGCAGGATGCGCAGGAGTATTTCTCCAAAATCATGGACGAGCTGGACAAGGAAGCAAAGCGTGCCATCGGAGCGCAAGAGGACAAACCGGGACTGGAGACGATTGTAAAGCGTGACAGGAACGGACAGGAGCAGGAGTCGAATGAGGCAGAAATGCAAGCAATGACGATGCGAAACCCACTGGAAGGCCTGGTAGCCCAGCGGGTGGCATGTACGAGCTGTGGCTTCTCGGAGGGATATTCAATGATCCCTTTCAATTGCCTCACAGTACCTCTCGGCTCGTCGTTTGCCTATGACTTGGAGGACTGCTTAGATGAGTACACCAAGAGCGAAGACATCGATGGTGTGGAGTGTCGGTGCTGCACGCTCATGCGCGCGGCAGAGAAATTGCAAAAGCTGATTGCAGCACCGCCGACACCGCTCAAAGTTCTCGCCACGCCTATCTTGGAGGCTCCAGTCAGCGATGCAGACAGCTCAGATCGCGCTGTGCAAACGCCTGCGACGTCTTTATCACCACAAATTATGGCCCTGCCACCGGAGCTTCGCACTCAGATAGTCGCGCGCTTGCAAGCAATCCAGCAAGCTCTGGATGAGGACGACTTTTCCGACAAGACTCTCAAGCAAGCCTGTGCTATCCCGGCCAAGGCATTCGTGAACGCCACAAAGTCGCGTGAAGCGGTCATCGGTCGCACGCCGCAAACATTGGTCATCCATATCAATCGGAGCGTGTTTGACGAGATGACCGGCGTGCAGAGGAAGAACTATGCACAAGTCCGATATCCAATGCTGCTAGATTTGCGACCTTGGATGCTGGAAATTGGGGATGCACCACCACAGTATGAGCTTACCGCAGTGATACAGCACTATGGACGACATGAAAACGGGCACTACATCTGTTATCGAAGACATCCAGAAGTGCCGTCTGAAATTGAGCCAGAAGGAGACTCCCCGAAGTGCGAAGAGAGATGGTGGCGTCTGAGCGACGAGGATGTCACGGCTGTCTCGGAGCAGGAAGTGCTCGATCAAAGTGGAGCATTCATGCTCTTCTACGAGCGACTGCCGCAGCACGGGCCGCCACAGCCTTTCAGTGAAAACATTGAAGAGGCTGCTGCGATACCACTGCCACCAGACGAGGCTGCCGATTGGGACATGATCAGCGTACAGCCATCGACCGAAGCGACGCCTTCATTGGTGACGTCTTCTACCCACTCTGTGGTCTCAGAGTCAGATGTCGACACGGAAATTGATGAACCAGACCCGGAGGCAGTGATACCAAGTGCTGGAAAGCTGCCTCCTCTCTCACAGCAGGCTCCGATCTTGAAGACTGCAGGCCCGGCGGTCATGGCGCTGCAGGATGATATGAAAGTAATGAATAGAATGATGAGAGTGTAATAGCGGTAGTGTAAGAGCAACGTCGCGTTCATGGTCACGAAGCGTTCGAACATCAAACAAAATCACAATACCCCGTGATGAGCTCTTTTGAATGTCAAACATGCCTTCACAATAGTGCGAACGTAACGTCCTCTCCTTGCTTCGCTTCACTTCACTACAACTCTATCCCACGTCGTCAAATGCCAACAAAAGTCCTTCGGGGCGGTTTATGATGATACGTGTAGAAGAGTCGGTGGAAGGATCAACCAACGGGAAATGTACTGAAAATGTCTGGTCGACTACAAAATGTAACGAGCAAAACGCTGCTGAAAGGATGGAAAGCCCTCCAAATCCGGGCAGAAACAAAGCGATATTTTCCTACGATCAAAGGAGACTGATGCGCCATTGTTGAAAACGCAGCAACATTGTCAGCTCTTGGTCCCCAAAAATTTCACTGAAAATCTTGTGGCATGCATGATTCTTCCGTCATTTTTTAAGAATGCTCGTTTTGCAGCATGTGGCGACGAATCCAAACCGATTCGTTTCGTGGGCCTGTACAGTCGTCAAACAAAGCAGAACCTGCTAGGCTCACATCACAAGGTATCCTCACTCCCTCGAGAACTCGTGCATCTGACCGGGACAGAAGAACAGATTTTGCATGTCAGATCATCTTGAAATTTCGACTGACTTCTTTCCTTCTCAAACGGAGCCAGGGTCGGCAAGAGAAGACGCAGTCAATCTCGATCGGCACTTCATCATGACTATGTTTGGAAGCTAGAGCGACTCGTGTTCGGCATCGATCAAATCGAAGACGATGAAAACTTATCACACGCGGTATGTCAGCCATGATCCGCTGGCGCTTCATGTGGAAGACATGTGTGCTGGTTTACGTATGCATGTTCTAGATCGAGAACGCACTCGATAACGCCAAATGCGAGGATCATGGCGTCCACGAAGCCAGACTGGAAGAATTTGTCGCAGAAAAATGTCAGGCGGAGGAACGCATCCAAAAGGGTCTCGTGAAGTTAACGGCGAATGCCACTGCAATCCATAAATCTCTCCATGCCGAATATCAGCATCTTTCGAATAGTATCCTGCCATTGGGGTTTCGCGAGGCACTCGAAGACTGGTCAATGAAGAGGAGAGTCTATCAGGAGCGACAAGCCATGTGTACCAGGAAAGAGAACCTCCGAGACGTCGGTCAGCGGCTTTTGCAGGCGAAGAAAGCACAGATAAAAAGAGGGGTGGGAGACCTACGGCTTCGTATTTGGGGAGGCTACAAGACTCTCGAAATAGGCTCCTCAGGCTTGCGGCTGTTTCCAAAGTCGCAAGGCGGAAGGAAATGAATACTCTGAGAAGGCTCTGTAAGGTGCATGCAAGAAAGGCGTGGCTTGATATCAGAACCGAGGGGGAGAGAGCTACCACGGACCGTCAGGAAGTGGAGGAATGTTGGTGAAAAGTTCGTGCCTCTACGGGACGAGGCGATGCGTGCAGGCTTCAGTCCAGTGACAATTGGAGACGAGGCATGGGGCGAATTCCCAAAGCATCGAGACGATGGTAATACTTCTTCAGAGGCTGCAGACGAGAGAGAGGAGAGAGCGGAGTTGGCTGGGGAAAAGCATCCAGATGAGGACGTGCTCAACTTCGTCGAGGAGCAGCAGCAGCGAGTGATGCCTGGTGGAGGGTGGAAAGATGCTGACATGTGTGCTCATGATGCACGAACGCCGACCGCGGAGCTCAGTGTTCAAGAACTGGAGTTTGGCGAAAGCCAAGCAGGTGGCCTGACGAGCTCGAATGTCATGAAGGACAAGGTATGTGTTGTTGTTTTGCATGACGGCGAACGACCGTCAGAATCAAAGCCATTTGCTAATCTACTCTCCTCCTTCCGTAGATTTCCACATGGCGTCGAGCTTGTGAGCAGACTCGTGCTGATGCAAGCGCAATCTACCGGCAAGCCATGCACGGTCTAAGCATCTGAAGAGCCCAGCAGTATAAGATCAGTAACAACGCCCAACCAACCGCGACGCCACTCCTCTGTTCCTTCAGAACTCATGTATCAAGTCAATGGCAAAGACGCCAAGTCTGAAACTCCTGCGTCGAATCTTCGATAATCGTCTTTTGTCGGTTATGCCGCTGTAGCCACGCGGCTGTCCTTCGCCACTTTCAGTGCGCCCTCACCTCCTCCCAGTCCTCCTCCCTCTTGCACTCCAGCGAAGGCAGCGTGGACTTTCTCAGCCAAAATGGTGCCGTTGCCCTTCTTTTTCTTCTTCTTGGCTTGCTTAGTAACCTTGGCCGGGTCGAACTTGACCTTGGCAACACTGTCGTCGTAGTGACTACCATGCTGGCCGCTAGCGTTGTGGGCGCAGTTATTGACTGCAGATTGGATGTTGTGTCCGAATTCCTTAGAGGTTCAGGTGGTGGTGTCTCGATATCGCCGTACTTCACCCGATTGTTGCCTCGTGAAGTGTGGCTGGGGGGTTTGTGCATGTCGCCAGGACGCTCAAAAGGGCTGTGGGCCATTGAATTCTCTGCCCATCTATATCCCAAGAGACGGTCATTGTGCCCAATCCTATGCAAGATTCAAACTTGGAAAGGGAAGCCGATACAGCTCGCGGGGGCATTGGATAGAACCAGGATGCCAACAGAAGAGTCTGAGGAGATGATACCGAACAGGACGAGTCAGCTGCAGTCGCTTTCGTGATCGTGGTCATTTGATAAAATCACGACTGCGCTCTCAACAAACACGTCGTCCAAAATCGGCACCCATGCCCATCGGCAAGACTCGGGCCGAAGCACGCGCAATCCGCCCCTCCAAACCTTCACCTGACCTCTCTTCCTCCTCTTCGTCTCGACCTGCCTCTTCTCCTGCTGACATACAGAAAATCCTCTTCCACCTCCATTTCGCTACAGTATGTACACGATAAGCACCCTCAACGCACCCCGTCACCCGACAGAACGGCTTGTGCGTGTGACCAAAAGCATGCATGCATCGTCATCCAACAGATTCGCATGCAGTATACAGCACAGTATACATTTCCATCTCGAATCTTGATGCGAGCCCCGGTCAACAACCACGCAGGGCAGGCATACGTACGTCAAAGCTCGATCGTCGTCTGACACTGTTCATCAGTGCACCCAATAAGGTGATCGAGTATTGTCACATGGCTCCCAGGGCATGTTCCTTGATAAGGAGGTCGTACGGCAGCTTCTAAGTAGTAAGTATCTACCTAGCAGCTTTTCATCTTGCCTTCGTGTCTCGAATTCTGCTTTTCTTCAAAACGGAAACATATCATCATGTCGGAGCAGAAAGTCGAGGAGCAGATTGCTTCGACTGGAGGAGGTATGTCTTCTGCTTCGAACTCAGGTATCTGGTAGCGTCTCTGACGAGTTTACTTAATTGCAGGAGCACCGAGTGACATCAACGCCGCACCAGTCGAAACTTCAGTCAATGAACCGACTGTAAATGGAAACCCTGCGACTGAAGCAGTAACCTCTTCCTCAGGTTCGCAAAAAAGCGTCTTCCATCCTAAATCTCAAAAAAAGAAATCTAACGGTCATCTGCTCCAGCCCCAGCAACTTCTGAACCCGCCGCTACGGAAACCAGCAAGACAGACGCAGACCTACCTACGAAGAAACTCGTCAAAGACGTCACTGGGCGAGAGAAGAAAAGCACACTAAGTGGAATTCTCAAGAAACTTATGTTTTGGAAGAAGGATAAGAAGAAGCCTGCGGAAGCAGAAGCTGAGGCTGTGACTGGAGGTGCTACGACTGCATAAGAAATGGATGTGAGCGAGCGTGCTTTTGAGCGGGATACCCTGAAAGACATAAGACACATGGCGGATTGTGAGTGAGTGGAGGAAGTAATGTAATGTGTAGTGAATGCATTGGATACCCAACCCTTGATGTGACTGCGTATGATAAGTGTTTTGTTTCAAGATTCGCATGTTGAGACTTTTGCAGGTTCTTCTTGAGATCTCTAGAATGAGCACCTATGTGTAGTAGCACCCTCTTATTCAATTGCTCGGATTCTCTCACTCGCCCTGCTCCAACTCATCCAGCTGATTCAAAAGCTCCAGCTCTCTCTTTCGAATCTTAAGCATCTCCAGATCACGCTCGATTCTAGCTCTCTTCGAGCTCGAGCTCCCACGATGGTGTCCAGAGCTAGATGATGAGAGCTCGTGCGAAGAATTTGGAGATTCTTGATTTGACGTCTGGGGTGAAGGTGCAGTTACAGCAAACTTCTCCGTCTTGATGACTTGTGGGAGGAACTCTTCGTCGTCCTCATCCTCGTCGTTGCAGTCATAGAGTTTGCGCTTGATCGCAGCCGATGGTGGCATTGGCAAGCGGGATAGAGTTTTCAGCCGGAGATCATCGCGGCCCAGGCCGCGAAGGCTCTGCTTGCCTTTGCTTCGCGCTTTCGGTGCAGTCAATCTCTTCGAGCCTTGAATGTCGGTCTTAGAACCTTGTTTCGACTTGCTCGCAGCAGCATCGGACAGGATGGCGGTGCCCGATACTTCGTTCTCGGAGCCGCATAGTGATATGTCATCTTCCTCGTCGTCCTCGTCGTCCTCATCCGAAGACTCCTCGTCCGAAGAGGGATAAATCTCGCGGTAATTAATTCGCTGACGCGCGTTGGCTCGAGCTCTCAGCTTCCGGGTGTATTTCACAGGCGAGCCATCTTCAGTAGACAGAGTTCTGCGATGATCAATGATTGCCTCCTCTTCTCCTGAATCGGACTGTTCAAATCCGGTGTCCTCGTCAGCAAGACTGTTCTTCTCAGTAGCGTCGAAGTCGTATAGTTCTGCCTCCTTGAAGTTCAGCTCGCCAGCCGTAGTATAGTCGACTTCATGTGGGCGAAGATTGCGGAATTCGAACACGTAGGGCTCGCCATGTTTTCCGCCCTTCGAGAAGAACCAACTTAGGCGGATAGGATACGATTGCTCGAAATTGCTTTGGCTGTCATGTTGGTTAGCTGAATTAATCACGCGAAGACCACGGCTGAAGCTTACAGAGCGTTACGTCTAGGCTCGACATTGGTTTTGGAACTCTTGAAGTCCTCGATACGCTCGCGAGCGGCCCTTTGAAGATCGACTTTCCCACGCTGGACATGTACGGATACACAGCCGTGGTTCGCCTGGTAGACTGGGTCCTTCAGCCACTCGTCGCTTGCATTTTGTGGTCGTTCTAGTTATAAGGATCAGTTTCAGCATCGAAATAAAAAGCGGATCACTTACTCGCTGGCGCTGGCATTTTTAAGGGAAAGAGCTGTGCTGCTTGAACGCCGTCATGCCATACCATAGTGTGCCCGAAAGTGTATTTAGACCCAAGTGTTGCTGGTTTGAGTGGGATCCAGAACACTTGGGCGTACTCAGTGCCCTGCTGAGCGTAGTAATCTGGGTGGAAAGCAATGACTACGCTGACGCCACTTGCATTTTGGAGCTTGAACGACCGGTCAAGCTCGAGGAGCACTTCGAATTGCGAGCCGGCGGGAAGTATGACGCTGCGACTACCGATAGACCGATCAAGATAAAAGGTCTTTTTGCAGTATTGATTGCTGTACTCCGTCAGATCTTGGCCGTTGCTCTTGAGCGCCACGCGCACGCCGTCGAGATGGCGCATCTCGGAATGACTGCGAGGAATGGAGTGATGAGAAAATTCGTAACTTTTGGCCGAGCCATCCTGCCGACATTTGTACTTCTTGTCACCGCCAGTCCGCCATGGCCATCGAGTGGGTCCATTGTTTCATAATGCAAGTGAACCGCAAGTTGATAGTGCAAGTATGGTTGAATAGACCAATAAGCTGCGAGCCTCACTTTCCAAATTGCAAGTGAGGCATGTCCGGAAAACCTTATGCATCTGTGAGTCTTGAAGTGAGTTGGACTGCCACAAGACTGAGGAGGTGGGAGAGCTGAGCTGGTTTCGTAGACTATACATCCATCCCGGCGTGACCTATGTGCAGTAGCAAAGCAGCTTGGGGGATGTACAATATGGAAAATCTTACTACAATGGCGGGAGCTGACACGCCATGTTCCAGTGCCTACGCTTGCGCTGTACGCGGACAACCCGTCTACCTTTCCTTCTTGCGCCGAACGCCCTCCATGCTGTGATCTTGAACAAACGCTCCTACATAATCTTGTTGAAGGCTGGTATCAATGTTTGTGCCAACCAGAACGAGAAAGTGAGCTTTGGTCCGGTCATCAGAAGCTTTGGCACCAGACCCTTGAAGAAAGCGCTGAAGCCTTCATATCGTGCCATCTCTCCGATAATCTTCAGTCCAGACTTCTTGACCTCAAAGTTTTGGTTCTGTATACGGGTCTTGATAACATCGAGCGGCGCGGATACAATCAGTGATGCACTTGAACCGGCGATCGATGCGACGAAGTTCTGGCCCCAAGTGGCCTTGTTGTAGTCTTCCAGTGCGAACAGGTATTGCTTAGCAGCAGCAGAACCCCCGAAGAGCGCGAACGATCCAGGAGCGTTACGTGCGGCGGTCCAGCCCCAGCCTCGGTATAATCCAAATCCCTCATCTGCAACAATTCGCAGTACACCACGGCCGCGGAAAGCCTCTGGGTTTGTCTGTCTCTTGATCTTGAGCACGTCCAATGGCAGTAGAACGATCTCACCGATTCCGATCAATGAACCAGCAGTTGCGTGCATTATCGCCTTGCCATTGCCCTTGCCAAAAGTCGCGTCGAATTGTGCTCCGTGGTGGGTAGCGAGGTAGTCTCGTACGAAGGGCTGACCGCCATATTTGTACACTCTTTGCAGAACCTTGTATGCTGCTGCGTATCCGAGACCAGGGAAGAGGGTGAAAAACCGCTTGACGACGGGTTCGGAGGCGTGCTTTCGGAAAATGACTTCGTTGAGATGACTCGCACCAGAAATCTTGCCCTGGTTGGACATCAATCGCTTGGCTATCGTATCGACTGGGTGGAATATGATGAGCTCGGCAATACCAGCAGAGCCTGAGGCATTTTGTCAGCTGAAAGGTCAGTACGAAGTGAATTCTAGCGATCAGGTCACGTTACAACACATCGTTAACAAAAATACTCGCTCGACATTTGATGCGCCGCTCTTCGTCACTGCCATTGGAGGCGACATCTCGAATATTCAATGCCTTGGACGTGTTTGACCACACCCTATCTATTTGGAGACCCGTAGCAAACGCTGGAGCGAGGGAAAAGCAAAGAGGAAATATCGAGAATTGGTGTCGCGCGATGCTCCTTTGATACAAAAAGTTGATCTGCTCCTCGCACTAACAAAGCTCAATCATCCCTGCACATCAGCGCACAGGCCAGTGCGGGATTGTCCTCCGAGCCCGACTCGGTCTTCAACTGGACTTCACATTGTCTTCCGACAAGCAATTCGCTGATCTGTGCGAAGGCAAGAACCCTAAATATGTAGGATGAATGACTCGGGAAGGTCGGAATTGAAGCATATTAGGAGATCAGTCTCAAAAGTGTTATGCAAATTTCATGTCAGACCGATCTCACTCTACCCTGGGTATATCCAGTATGACGCCTTTGCTGAAACGCTGCAATGTCTTCGAACTCGATCTGCAATGCAACCGAGTGGGCCCTTAGAACGCAATCCACCTTCTACGATGCGGCAGGCGTCTGCACAGCAGTTGCGCTGCTTGGTGTCGTTGGGGTTACAAGCGAGCCACCTTTGCTCTTTCGTCGTTTGGACTTTTCACCACCTTTGCTGACTCTCCGCTCATCTTTGCTGCTCTTCGCCTCCTTTCCAGGCTCCTTGATCTTCGTCTTGAATGCATCAGCACCTGACGACTCGACCTTTGGCGAAGTTGCTCTTGATGTAGACGCCGAGTCTTTCTCAGCTCGAGCCTTGGCAAGCGCCGCTTCCTCGTCTGCTCTACGTTTCTTAACTGTAGCATGGGACGAGGAGAACTTGAAGCTGCCAGGTTCGCCGATCAAAGGGTTCTCATCGGTAAAGTCATCTCCATAAAAGATTGCCATTCTCAGAGAATCTGCCAGCAGACGAGTCTCTTCATAGTTGGACGAGTTTGCGGAGGTCGTGATTTGCGAGGCCGGCTGGACTGAGCCTGAGCGAAGAGATTGCGAATCTGTTCCAGGAGCAAGGCTGCCTTCGCGCGAGCGTATTGGGGATCCCGCTACCGACCCTGATGTGGTCGCCTTCGCAGTCTGACTTTGAGGGAGATAGCTGTGTCCCAACGCCGGATCATAGACTGGTAGGTCATGAATTCTCTCGATAACCTTGTTGAGACTACTGGCCGCAGCGAGCAAGCGATTGCCGATGATGTCGAAGACATTTGGAGCCTGGTAGACATTTATGCCGACAATGTAGTACGTCGCCAGAATTGTGATCTCCCACTGCCCTTCGATGATCACACCCGCCGGTCGTGGCGCATTGTCCTGTATTCTCTGCCTGTCCTGCTTGCGAACAACGTATATACCTGTCTTGACGCCTTGAGCAGCCAACTCCTTGTCCGCCACAGGCTGCGGCTCTGCTACGATCATGAATTCGAGGCCGTTGCGCGATCGAACGAGGTCTTCAAAGCCCTTGCGGTTGTTGCTGAGCTCATACATATTCCAGTCGTTCTGAGCCTGTGAGAGGTACATGCCATTCTTGGAGCTCCAGTCGAAGAAGGGCGATTCAGACATGTATCGATGTATCATGTTCTCGTCCATCGGCTGACCGTTCATCTCATTGACCCACCAGTCAACAATTTCTGGGCGCGCGTGGATCACCTCGTCGATAGGAGGAGCTTTGGACGCCATCTTGTTTGACGCGATTTGCTCTCGAGGTTTGAGGATTGTCTGTAGACAGCGGTAATGGACTCGAGACGCGTGACAGGGTGTTCAGAGACGGAAGTGAAGCTTGCTCTTTACTCATCTGTAAAGGATTTCAAGGGCGATCTTAATCGGACCATGTCAGATGTAAGAGTGCTCAGACCCGCTAAATATTCACTGCAGCAGCAAGGGAATGTGAGGTAGATCGTTGTTGGTGGTTGATGTTCACAAGAAAATAGTCAAGCAGCTTGTGCTGAGCTCACGGCAATGTCGCATGCGCCGGCTCGCTGGACGGAGCTCTATACATACCAGATTGTCAATGGAGGGTTAGCTTCACTTTAGTCTATTGTCGCTTCCTATTCTTCCTATACCTTCCTTACTAACCTTACTATGCCTATTATCGCGACAAACCTTACTTAGACTCGCTATACTTTCGCGCCTTGCCTCGTAATATTCTTCTTCTATCGATAATACCGATAGCGATACCGATACCGATACCGATAGTAGTAGCCGCTATAACTAGTATTCCGCGAGACCTTATTCTTAGCGCAGCTTTAGCAGCTTTAGCTTTAACTTTAGTAGCGTACTTACTAGTAGAAGGAGGAGAATATTTATCGTAAGTTACGAGGCGTATCGCTATAGACTCGCTACTAACTCGCTCTAGACTTCGACGCCCTACGACTATAAATACCTACGATTTCTAGTATTATAGCGCGTAGATATAGCAAGAGCTACTCGATTAAATAGCGATACTAGATAAGAAGAAGGCGGTATTAAATAGACTACGGAAATATAAAGCTACTAGACTTATTATAGAAACGGACTCTAGTAAGCTTATACTAGCGCTATACTACTACTATATACGCTCTAATAACTTTAAGTGTCGTATACTTAATACTAAGGGCGAGCGAGTCTATGCTTATTATAAGTATAAGGGCAAGTCTAGCTATACGGCTAGTATAGAAGAGGTTAAAGAAGACGATAGAAATAGCGAGCTAGCCGCGATATAGGCGCGAGTCGAGGCTATAGAGGCAAAGAATGCTATATTAGAGGTAAAGATTAAGGTATTAGAAGCTAGGTTCGATAAGTTAGAAGGATATTGCCTCTCGTAGTTTAAATAGCTTAAGAATAAGGCTATTATTAAGTCTAAGGATATATATACGATATAGAAGGAGCTATAGCTAAATAGCGATCGCGAGCTACTAGTAGATAATGTTTAAAGAGCGAGTCTATAGCGAGTCTATAGCGAGTCTATATTTTAATTTCCTTTCTTCTTCGATCGTGTCTCTATAGATAATAGATTAACTAGCTTCTAAGTACGCTTTAGCTTCTAACTCTTCTAACTATCTTGCTAGCTATCTTACTAACCTTGCTAACCTTACTAGCCTTACTAGCCTTACTAGCCTTGCTAGCCTTCTTACTAGCTATCTTGCTAGCCTTCTTACTAACTATCTTACTAACTATCTTACTAACTATCTTGCTAACTATCTTGCTAGTCCTTAGCTTCGCTCGACTCTTTTAGAATAGGCGTAACTCGCGGTAGCCTCGCGGTGTCCTCGCTACTTAGGTTAATAAACTTAGGCGGCTTTTTTATATCGATTACCTTCTCCTTCTATAGCTTCTCTTACTTAATCTCTATAGATAGAACAACCCTATCCTAACTCGCTATAGCACTCGCGCTGCTACTCGTAGTAGGAGTACTTAGCCGGTACTTCCGCTTTAGTTGCTTTTATTACTATAGCTTCCGCTATTAGATATAGATTTTAAGGTAATAGATTAGTAGCTGCTTTGTTGCTTTCCCTATTTGCGGTTTAAAGAGTATAAGAGCCTCTTTAACTAGTCCTAGGCCGAGTGCTTTAGATGCGACTTTATCTAGTAATAGGCGCTTATTATCGAAATTAGTATAAAAGAAGTACTTTGTATAGTCGTCGACCTAATAGACGCTACCTTACGGTAGGTCCTTAGCGTTAATCCGACTAAGAACCTAGTCTATAAGTAATATATTAGCTTCTTCGAAGTCTTTGTTAGACTAGATATTAGTAATAGAAGTCTATAGGACTAGCTAATTATATTCCTATAGGTCGACTCTACCCCTATAAGAAACCTCTACTCGCTAGCTAAAAACTGAATAGCGGTAGGTAAATAATACCTTTGTTAGCTCCCTTAATGCTTGTATAGGTATTAGTAGACGTTGCGAGAGGCTCCGAGATCTAGCATTTAGTCGAGAAGTTAGCTTATACTGCTAAATAGTAGCATTGCGTATAGTATTCGCCGCCTTAGGTAGAGAAGGGAACGTATTAAAGCCTCGTACTATACTCGCAGTTAAACTCGTAGCAGTAGTAGTAGTAGCTGCTACTGCTACTAACGGCTCGCGTATAAATCGCTCGGTTAGTAGATTAGGGTTCTTAAGACTATATTAGTTATAGAATGCGTATGTTTTTAATAGTGTTATATAGTTAGCGCCGGTAATAGTATAAAAGGTACCCTAGACAGGCATTATTAGCAGTAGAACTAAGGTAGAACAAGATAGGAATTAAAAGATTAAGAAGGAAATAGAACTAAAATAAGCGACTCGCGGCCGGCTCGCGGCCGGCTCGTAGATCCCTTATTTTAGATTAGTATATATTATTTATAAACTTAATTAATCTAGCCCCGGTATTCGCCCTACCTAACGTCTAATTACGAGCTGCTAATAGCTTGTCTAACTCTATTAGTTTAGGCCCTAACCCTATAGCTATATACTCGGCAATTAGCTATCGAAGAAGTAAGTATACCTAGCGGTAAACTCGCTCTCTATCGCTATTATTCTCGCTACTACTAACTAGATACGAGAAGCCGCGAGTCTATAATGCTATCTAACACTAAGTAAGCGTAGCCTCGGGCAGGTAGGCTTTAAGATCTAGGAGCGAGTCTATTAGCGAGTCTATAGCGAGTACTATAGAATCTAATATATACCGAATCCTTAAAGGTCTTCCTCTATATTATTAAGTACGCCGTTAGGTATAGGAATACCTTAATAAGAATGCCCGCTTAGCTCTAGATAATAGTATAGAATATGCGGAATACCTAGTACGACGTATAGTCGATTAGCCTACTTCCTAATCCGATAGCTATTCTAGAGGTAAACAAATTCGAGGACTTTATAGCGTATAATTAGTATATAGACTATAAGGAAGGTAATCCGATCGGCTAGTAATTTAGCATCGTATAGTAACTCGCGTAGCAACTTATAAAAATAGCCCCTCTAGCTATTTAATATAAGTGCTTGCTAGCGCTACTATACCTCGATCCGCTAGTTTATCTTACTCGTACCGTATTTAAAGCAGTCTTCGAAAGCTAGTAGTTCTAGTTCTAGTTCTAGTTCCGGTTCTAGGTTACTACGAGTCGTAAGGCGAGTCGTATAGTAAGCGTCCGCAGCTAGAATCGTTTCCGCCCTACGGTCTAATCGGATAATCTATAGCATTATACTACTATTCTTAATTATTATAATATATTAAGCGAGTACGGATATAGCTATATAGCTAGTAATCCCTACGTAGACCTAGATAATATAACGCGAGTAGATATTAATAGCTACGTAGATCTATATCCCCTAATGCTCGAATTTATAGTAAGCATCTATTAATATTACGTAGCTAGGGCCTAGTATAATAATCGCTCTATAGTACTCTCGCGCCTACTCGTAGCAAACTCGTAACCCTTTAGGATTTAGTAAGCAAGCTATACGATATAGCCGATCTCTGCTAATAATGTTGTATTTAGACCTAATATAGGTATATAGGTACCGTCGGCCGAAGGACTCTACTATAGACTTCTCGAGCTCTTCCTATAAGACCTCTACTATCTCCTCTTCCGCTTCTATCTATCTATCTCGCGATAATACCTTCTTTAATCTAAGCTCTTAACGTATCCGTTAATATCTCTACTAGCTAATATTAAATCTATCTATCTTTAGTACTTTAACCGCTTCTTTATTAGTTAAGTGTAAAGCGGAGAAGGTATATACGACTTAGATCTTTAGTACCTCGATATTATTAACTTAGTTATAGTAAGCGTAATAGCTATAATTAACCCTCTATTCCTTAAGCCTCCGACAAAGCGTAGAAAGAGCTATCTAGTAACTAGTCTCTTATATAAGGTACTATAGGATTTCGCCTTATATAGTACCGCTATTAACCTATAAGGTTATCTAAGCCCTCTATAGCGAGAGATCGATACGTAGAGGCATTTTGCGAGTTAATAGCGAGTATAGTGCGAGGGCAAATATAGAAAGTTGGTCGTAGAGGTAGGTTAGTAGAGGCGGTGAGAACCTCTATTAACAATCTAGTATATATGGGCCTCCCTATCGCTGCCGCAACTCAATTCGCGGGCCACCTTCCTCGTCTGTTACTGCCGTCTAATATCCTTACCCTGCTCTAATAGCTATGTCTTGCTATTCGCCCTCTTAGCCTGTCTTTCGAGGTGTCTGTATTCTAGCAACGCGCTAATTCTCGGGTAGCGCATTCCGTAGAGATCTACAATTGAATAACGTTTTGTATGCCCCGCTAAGACTATGAAATTCGTATATACTCGAGCTATAATTTTGGGAATTTTGAAACTACTACTACCTCGTCGCCTCTGTTATCGCCCTAATAGAGGAACTACCGGATATTACTGTACCTGACGGCAATGGTAATGCGCTTAGCAACCTTAGCGTCCTTCGCGACAGGCTCTTCCTCATCGATAAGGATATATCGCTGTCCTATACTAAATAGATTATTGCTATCAAACTGATGTCTAATATATATAGCTATACTCGTACAACAGTGCCTAAGGAAGACCGCAATAGCTATATTATCTCTAGGTCCTATTACAAGTATATTGAGGCTAAGAGAATAGAAGCGGCGGAAACGAAGAAGAAGAAGGTCGAAGATATATCTAGTCGCTAGAAGCTAGAATACGCGCCATTCGAGCCTTATAGAGTTAGTCTTATTATATTGCGATACTACGACAGTATCGACGACAATAAGCCTACGAGGGTTGTTATTTAGCGTACCGACTATCGACATAGACATACCTATACCTTATAGCAGAGCGACGCGCGGCGGACTAACGCATACCTAAAAGAGATAGGTTAAGAGAAGTTAGATAGATCACCTCGAATTAGCCGTACGAGAGACTTTTTAAAGGATAACTATAGCAATATTAGTAGCAATGCTGTCTAGTATTAGACGTTATATAACCTAGCAAGAAGCTCCCTACACTACAATCGAGATAAGCGCTATATTGTCCCCGGCAAAAGCGCTATTCTACGGTAAATTAAAGAGGCGAAAGAGCGTGCGATTAAGCGTAGTTATTATTGTAAGGTGTACTAGGTGCAGACGTCTAAAGGTCTTAAATGGGGCATTGTATATACTACTAAGAAGGGCATTGAGTTGCTAAAGAGGTATAGCGAGTTCTTATCGCAAGACGCTACCTACGATACTAATAATACTAGCTTCTTCCTCGTTAACCTATTCGTACGAGACGAGAACAACTTCTAACGCCCTATTGCTTATATGCTTATCGAGAGCCAGTATTCTATCGTTATTGCGACTAGCTTCTACTACTTGTCTTCGTAGGCCGATTACAAGAAGCCTAGTAGTTAGAACCTTAGATAGACGATTGTTGATAACTCTATAAGCGAACAGGCGGCTTTCCGGTTAGGGTTTAATAACGAAGTTGTAGTATATCTATACTAACGACACGTTGTCGAGACTATTCGAAAGAAGTTTAGTATTAAGCGTAGCTATAAGAAGACACAACAGGCTCTATTTAGTGCGCTCTACTTCGTAGAAGACCGTAACGAGGCTCTTTAATATATATAGCTTGTAGAAGCCTCGCTACTAGGTAGCTAGCAGGATCTACTAGCGGCCTATTTCAAACGAGAGTAGTCTATCGAGTATGCTAAGCTCTAGTATATATACGCTCGACGGGGCAATCTACGCGTTTTGTAGGTAAATATAGCTGTTTCTTCCTAACTGGTGTACTATAGTTTAAGCTGACTTTCCTTATAGGACCGTACGACTAGCTATATTAAGGGCTATTATGCCTATTACAAGCGCGGTAACGAGACGACAATCTACAACTAGTTATTAGCAGGCGCTCTTATATACTCTCTCGATATCGACGACTACTAGTATAACAATGCCGACGTTGCTAAAGCTTCTATGCTATAATTGCTACTCTTCCGCAGTCTTAGCTATTCGAGGCTTTAAGAACTACTATACTATCTACAGAAGAAGATTGCTAAGCAGTATAAGATTGCTCGTTTACGGTATAAGCGAGGTGCTATTGCCTAGTCTCGTTTTGAGCCTACGGTTAACGAAGAGACGCTATCTGAGTGCCCTTGCCTGTTCTTCCTTAGCTAGTATTAGCCCTGCTGTTATATACTATTTAATAGCGAATTTAAGGATAATCAGTTGTCTCGGAAGCAGGTAGATAAGTATATAGACCGCTAGAAGGCAATAGATAGTAGACAAGGCTCAAATAACGCCTCTACGGTCTACGAGGAGTAGTTTAATAGCAATCGTATACTAATCGATAACCTAGCTGTTATAGAAGGCTTAGAAGGAGGCGGCAGTAGCGTGTTAGAGCGCAATTACTATATTCTTCTTTACTACGTTATTAACAACTTTAAGGAAGACTTCTATCGCCTAGCGAGGGCCGCTTAGTTAATAGATAACCTATCGAAGAAGGACTATAACGACTATATACAGTACCTCTACGAGCACTATTCGAAGGTCGTTAGCGAGGCTGTCTACCAACTGTCGATAGAATAGTAGCTCGAGAAGGTGAAGTTAGATAACGATTTCTAACGTTAAATTAACTAGACTCGCGACAACTTTATTAATAACGATATAGTAGACGACGACGACTATATCGATAACTAGGTTCTTAGCACAATAGCTAATCTACTAGATACTAGTTATATTAGTGAGACGAGGCTTAGTTAGCGACCGCTATTTAGTTAATAGGTACCGCCGCTACCGCCGCTATTGTTCTCGTTATAACCCTTCTTTCCGACTTAATATACGGCGCGCGTGTTAAACGACTTCTAATCTACCGCCGGCGGCTATAACGTGCAGTATAACGGCAATAGCGTATAGAGCGACTACTTACTAACTCGCTACCTCGAGCAAATGCTACCTTCTACGCCCTTCGTACCTTCTATACCGAGCCGTTTGCGATATAACACTACTATCGACACTACGAGCGACAGCTAGTCCGAGAACCTTCTATAGAATACACTAATTCTACTACCGCCTAACGCCGACGTATAGCTATTTAACCGTAGCTTTAAGCTATACTATAATCTATAGATAGGCGCGTAAGAGCGATATAAAATAAGGCTATAATAGGCGCTAACTAATGAGGTATTAGAAGATTAGGTATAGCGACTGCGACAACAGCGACAGCGATAGCAACAGTAAGGTAGATAGGGCAAGAGCGCGTTAATAATACCTAGAATTTGCTATACTAGTAACCTATTACCTATACTTTAGCTTTATTTATCGCTATTGCTGGCGGCAACGAGGTTTTGCCAGCGTTGCTAGCGTTGCCATTATCTTACTCAGTTCCCAGCAATATGTTGCTATAACGTGGGTTTTGCGTCATTTTGTGGGACCCGCGTACTTCCGGAGGTACGTGCGCTGCCAAGCGTTGCCAGAATACAGACACCCGTCTTTCGGCTCGGGAGCTCTTCTCATTTGTCTCACGCACTCCTTATGCCTCATGCTATCGCTACCGCTACTAGTAGCTCTGCAATCGTGAACTTCTGCGCCGGCTGAGCATTCTGATCCTGGTCCGCGGCTCTCCAAGAGGAGGGAGGCCCACCCGTGAGACATCCTTCGCCATGTCTTCCGCCGAATCGAAACTTCCGCGCGTTCCCAAATTCCCTACGCACAATGCTCCTCGTGTCTGGTTTCTTACTTGCGCAAATAGTCCAATCGGTATATCGCTGTGCAGACACTTACTGGCCCATGGAGACTACGTGACAGCTGGAGTTCAGCCTGTGGAATTTGAGAGGGAGGAAGAACGGAGCCGCGACTTCAAGGAGTTCTTAGAGGAGCTAAGTGCTCCTGCTTCAACGCGAGACGATGTGGATCATGGCAACGACAAAGATGGCCTGAGCGAGAAGGACAGGGAGAAACAGGAGAAGGAAGAGAGGGAGAGGGAGCTGTGGAAGAGCCGGCTACGAGTCGTCGCATTGAACGTTAAGATCATGGGCCAGTGTCAGTCTGCTGTGGCTGAGGCCGTGAGATGCTTTGGGAGAGTCGACATTCTATTTTGCTGCCACTCGGAAGTTGTTGTGGGAACCGTCGAAGAGCTGTCGCAAAGTCCCAGGACGCTGAGTCTGGTCAAGGACCAATTCGAAACCAACTTCTTCGGGCCAGTCAATGCCATCAAAGCTACTCTACCAATATTTCGCCAGAAGAAAAATGGCCATATCGTTCTGATGACTGCTGTGACTGGACACTTGGGCACACCTGGACTCGGCATGTACTGTGCCAGTCAATGGGCAATCGAAGGCTATTGCGACAGTCTGGCATATGAAATTGCTCCCTTCAACATCAGGATGACCATAGTGCAGCCAAACATGGAAGTCAATGTCTTGACGCACCGAATCACTTCTGCTCCTCCTATGGCTTGCTATGCAGACGACAGTAACCCGGCACCTCTGTCACGCAACATTCTATCGTCGCTCTTGGACCGGATTGATGGAACCGCCGAGCCTACCACTGGCGATCAACTACATTCAAGTGAAGTGACGAGTCTATATCCACCTCTGAGCAGAGGCATGAAGGAGCGTCTAGTTGCAGAGACAGTGCATGCCGTCGCAGCCATCGGCGGACATGACAATCCTCCGGCTCGTCACATCGTGGGTTTGGAAGGTGTCACGACAGTCAAAGAGAAGCTCAAGACAGTGAGCGAGGAGCTTGAAGAGTTCGTCGAATGCAGCAGTGCGGCCGACATTGAAAGGCACGAAGAGATCCTCACACCCAGCCAAACCATTGCAATGCCAGGCTGAATAAGGAGAAAGTTTCCTTCGATGCCAGGATGATGCTGTTGCCCGATGCGGCGATGCGCCTGGGCAATTGACGACGGACAGCCTTGCGATTCACACCTCAACTTTGCGGACATTGAGCATTGACTTCGCGTGCAGGGCGCGATCGAGTCTTGTACGTGCAGCATTTGCTTCGAGAAAGCGGCGGCCAAGGCACCAAGGCACGTCGTGAGATCGGCCCCGCCCCGCTTCGCTGATCTCCACACCTCTTGCAGTGAGTCCGCTTTGCACTCCACAGCACAGCCTGTGGCTCCTCCAAACCTTTCGAGTGCCTGACGACAGCCGCCGCCGCTGCTGGTCCACGAGCTTTCTGCAAGTTCCAATGTTTCACGACCGACCGCCCACGTCATCGCATACCACGATCTTGCCATTCTCGCAATTGACCGCACGCAATATGGAGTGGCACCAGCAGTGATATGGTACGCAAAGAACGACCTGAGAGAAGGCCCGAATACAGCGCCGAAGAGCAAAGGCGCACCCTTTGCGGAAAGAGATGGCCGCAGAGACACAACGTACACAATTGCCGCCGACTACCTCCAACCCTTCGACGAATGCTAGTAGCGGAAGCGGCGGCGGAAGTAAGGCGCCGACCAAGCAGCTTAAGCGAGCATGTGATTGTTGCAGAAAGAGAAAGGTTCGATGTGATGGGCAGGATCCGTGTACACCATGCAGAAAAGCCAGCATACGATGCGCGTACCTGCAACCGCCGAAGAAGAAGGGCCCGAAAGGTTTGCGCAGTGCTCGGGTCCTGCATGCGCTTCGTCGCATTGACGACACCGCCTCGCAAAGTCCAACAAGTCCACATAGTCCCAGTGCACCGTTTGGTAATTGGGAATGGGGTCAGAATGGCTCAGTACCACCGGGTGCTTCATACTCCGGCCAGATGAATGCGCAGACGTCGGATCCCGCGTACGGACAACAAACGAGCGTAGCACCCGATCAGCAGCCTTACTATCAACCTATGCCGCCACCTCAGCACCAATATCCTCTTCCACCATACCGACCACAACCGTCGCATGCACCGCAACGTAGTTGGACTCAATCGACCCAAGCTGAGTCAGTCCCGGGGAGCGATGATGTTCCACGAGTCATGTCGCCATCATCTACAGAGTATGGCCACCGGATGCTGTCTCCCGAGACATTTCTACCCTACGTGCAGCTGTTCTTCAACCACATGTTTGCCATCATGCCAGTCATCGATCGTACCCAATTCATGGACCCGAGCCTTTACACTAGTCAACGCGCCATGAGTCCGGAACTGTATGCCTTTCTGTGTGCACTATGCGCCGCGACCCTTGTGCAACTCGATGACTCTATTCCCACGCCGCCACGACTTCATCCCGCAAGACCGACCGATTCGGTATTCGTTGAGGAATGCTTGCGGGAGCGAAAGACTTATGACTATGTTGGGCATGTTACGACAACGAATCTCATGACTTCCTTTTTCCTCTTTGCATACTACGGAAATCACGAGCATCACGACCGCGCTTGGTTCTATTTGCAGGAGAGCATCACGATCAGCGAGAACTTGAACATGGATGACGAGGAGTCTTATGAGAAGCTCGATCCCACAGAAGCGCAGTGGCGAAGACGATTATATTGGCTGCTATTCATCACAGAGCGAGCATATGCTGTCCAACGGCGAAAGCATACGCGATTGCATGCTATGACCGTTGCATTGCCTGCTGTTTTCGAAAGCGAAGATCCGCAGCTGCTGACAGGTTTCGTCAATCTCGCAAACCTGTTCAGTGCAGTGGACGACTCTTTCGTGAGCGCATGGCGTGGCTCTAGACGAGCTAGCTTGTGCGATGAAGCGTGGTTGGTGAAGACGCAGAAGCAGCTTGATGCCACAGCCAATGCGGCTGGGCTTGGAGAATTGACAGAAACGCAACGCCTCGACATTAGCGTAACGAGAGAATGGCTGCACGTCTTAGCTTGGCAGATGGGAGTGAGCAACGGCTTGATCTGGGGCCAAGGAGAAGGAGGGATGAGGCTAGATTACCCAGTCGAGCTGGCCCGGAAGGTAGTTGAAATCACATCCGGCGCAAGTGCTTTGGCACTTGATAGCCACGGAATTGGAATGGTGAGTCAAGAAGCATCATCTTTGACCAGCAGCGCAAAAGGCTAACTTGTCGTGCAGGAACAGAAGCTTTCCGACATTGCTGGATGTCTTGCCGATGTTCTGAAATGTACTGCTGGCGATGCATCCTCGACATTCCTGGAAGGCAAGCAGTACCTCAATATCCTGCTCCAACGTCTTTCCAGCATGCGTGGGAAAGAGTCGCGTTACCTGCGTCCTCTGATGGCCAAGATGGATGGCTTGATGGGCTTCGAATTAAGCAATGCGACACTTCCACCACCACAGGAAATTCAACAGGCCTTGGACGCGAAGCAACACGCCTTTTCTCAGAGCTTACAAGCCCCAACAGCACAAGGCGAATTTGCAACGTCATCCGGTCAGTGGTCGATGAGAGACTCCGTGTCGATGCTTCGGACTTTGTCCATGTGCGGCAACCTGGGCATGCCAAGTCTTTCAGTACCCACTGATGATTGGGGTCAAAGGCGCCCCAGCGGACGAGTGATACCTGTTGAAGAAGAAGAACTCGATCTGCTTCAGCCTTGGCTACAGCAGACCGCCGTCCAGAGCATGTAGGCGGGCGTGACGAAGAACATGAGATGACGAAGTGACTGGATGAGATACGGCTGCATTCGAGGGAGCGCATAGTTGTTTCTGGGCAAGGCGATGGCTTCAGTGAGCGTTACGTACAGACCATATCATACCCATCAATCCTTTTTCAAGCAAAAGAAGTATTTGATCACCATACGGGCTGCATATATTATTCATCCACCTCCCAAATCGCCTCGGCATATCTCCTCAAACTCAATTCCCATGCCGCTCCCGTCTCCTGCACCTCCGACCCGGTTGAACCGCTTTCCCGGCTCTCTTTCTTTCGCACAGTACCATGGCAACACTGAGATTATTATACATTCTGCGCCAACCTTCTCATACCAAGTATTCTCACGGGCATGGGTTACACGGCGAGACATTGGATGCTTATGGTCTGAGACTAATGGGAGTCCCTTCTAGCGTGCGCGCCGGCGGAAGTAACGTGCCTTGACTCGGATATTCGTGGATGTGGGATCCTGGCGAATATGAGGGACAACTTGACAAGGAAGGAGTTGGAGTTGGAGTTGGGGTGGATTATAGAGTGGCACTTGCGTGTAGGAACTTTAGGAAGATGCTCTATAGTACGGAAGAATCTTTCAATTATTACTTAGATAGGAGCGTCGCTTTGAATAAAGAGCTAGGGTGTCGGAGGATTCTGTTGGAAGGGACGGTGGTGTTGGGATTTGAAGAGATGGTGAGGTGATGCTGCTGTGATGTGGGTGGCTCCGACTCGAGTGTAGCAGCTCCTGCGAAATTGGGCCCGCAAGCAAGATGCAGTCACGCTGTGCCACGACGTTGCTTTTCGAGCTGAAGACTCTGTCCCTATAACGACGCAGTCCCAGGAGATGTGGTTGCCGCAGGATGTCCTCTCGGAGACCTCCTTGAGTGGATTTGCACGAGGAAGAAGGTGGGCGAGGATGATTAGGGAAAAGAGATGTCTTCAACCACGGGCGAAGTCCTGAACATGGTGCTAGTTCGACCGCGCATGCGTAGAACAAGTAGACGAGGGTACCTAGAATCTGATTCTGCTCATCGCTGCCAATTTCTACTTCAGCAATGACAGATGTTCTGTCTTCTGTCACCACGATCTTGCAAGGCGTGAGCAACGCTCTGCAGAGTAGACTATGGGGAGAGTTCGCGGATACGAAGGGAGGAATTCACTGACCCAGACTAGTCGCATGTATCACGCTGGACGAACAAATCCGCCTCCAACGACTATCAATAGGACAATCTGAGTAGGTGGTTATAATGCCTAAAAATGCGGGCAGATGGCATGCCCTTTTTCAAAATGAAACTTTCTGCATGGCTTGATTCCACAGTACTTCGACACTATCCTGACAACAAACATGGGGAAGCTGAGCACATAACGTCGACCATCTGTAACAGAAAAGAATCACTCACTCACTCCCCGAATCTCTCCTATACCAAGAATCACCTCAAAAATGATGGGACACCAACGACAGAGAGCAAAAAAGTTAGTATAATCTCCGTAGGATATAACATTAGAATACCTTCTAAGTTAGTATAACGCTCTAAGTAATACACCCCTATCTGCTAGCTAAGACAGCCGGAGCGCTAATCCCCTTCTAGATTGTCTAAATCTAAGCCTTAATCCTCCTCGTCTACTATAGCGCCTTCGACCTAATTATCCTTTAAGTCTTAAAGAATTTAACGGAGACTATATCGATACTTAGACAGATCGCGGACGAGTCTACGAGGATAATAGAACTACCCTATCTACGAGAAATTATCGAAAAGTTTCTAGACGAGGTCTTCGTAACTAATAGCGTATTCTACTAGACTAGTAGTCTATAAGTATTTAGATACAAAGAGTCTAGTTTTTAAGAGCAAAGAGAGATACGGCGTATTTGTCGTCTACTTTAAGACCTTAAGACCGCCTACGAATACTTATCTTTAGTTCTTAGTAGGCTAAAGGTCGTCTAAAGGTATAATTACTAGATTTAAGAGCTAGTTAATCGCGTCGGGTCTAGCTAGATTAACGACTAGGAGCCGTAGCTACGTATACGCCGTTAGCCGCTAAAACTACGCTTTACTAAGAGTTAGTCCCTACTAGTTGCACTCGCGATATCGTACGTAGTAGAATATCGATATAATTATAGTATCTAGTAATAAGGATTGTACTATTTAAGGCAGGTAACTAAGATTCTACTAGATATAGCGCTCGTTATCGATCTATCGATATCGATAAAAGCCTAGGTAACTATACGAGCTATTACTACTTAGTACGACTAGCGATTCTAAGCTATTCTTCGCGTATTAATCTATCGTCGCTTAGTAGAAACGCCGTAGACTTATCCTAAACGACCGATAGTGCTCTACGCGGCCTAGAGTCGCAGCGCTCGACTTTAGAGCTATAGCGCCTTAACTAGCAATTTTAGGCGCAGGCTTATCTTCTATAATTACTTCTTCGACCCGGATAGGTCTAGGCTTCGATAGACGAGGCTCTAGGTACTTTTAAATAATTTGTCGCACCCTATATATCTACTCTATATTATCGTCTAGCTTAATATAGAATCGAGAGAGCTACTCGAAGCTCTAAGTCTTATCGTTAGACTTATAAAAGCGGTCTAGAATCTCGCATTCTAGTATAAAGAGGATATAGCAACTCTTAGGCAAACTAGTATATTCGAATTAGTACTATAGAAAGCTAAATCTCTCGAAGACATTAAAGTAATAACGCTACGGCCGATTAACCCGATAGAAACGAGCTATAGGAACCTTCTCGAGTGCCGCTTCTCTCCTATAAGGCTTAGTATCGAACTTAGCCTATATTAAAGTTCTATCTAGTTTAAAGTCTGCTAGACGAGGCTAGAGTCTAACCTATTCGAAACGTATAGTATTAGTTAAATCGCAATATCGCTTAATATATATAGCCTATTCGTAGGATGTAAACTACTAAGCCGATTTATAAGGTCGTATTAGCGAAATCTTATTTATAGTTAGAGGCTTCTAGTCCTTAAATACTACACTATTCTATAGATTTATATAAGGCCCTTTGCTAAGTATATAGTCGCGGATGCGTTTAATTGCCTCTAGGAGCATCCGCCGTAGTATATAATATAGTAAAGAGGTCGGATCGAGAAAACCGTAGCTTCTTAGACGTAGGTAGGAGTGTCCGACTGCGTTTATCTACTAGACTTCGGAGTCGTCTATTACGGTTACTCGCGACAGATCGTTAGGTAACTTCTTATTACGTACAAGCCGAGGCTTCTTTAGAGAGGCTAACGTAAGCGGGAGGCTAAGATAGAATAATTAGTACAAAGGTAATTCTAACTAGTAAGTAAGTAATATAAGTTAAACGCCTCGAGCTATAAGGGTATTCCGGCGTTCCTAAATATAAAGGAGATATCTTGTCTATAGTCGTAAGCGACGTAAGCGACGCTATCGCTTTCGACCGCTCCTATCGCTCCTAACAAGATAGAGCGACAGCTTAGCTCGCTAGTCTTAGCGTCGCTCTAAGATTACATAAGGACTCTAACTAATCAGATCCGTAATACTATCCCCTTCCTTAAGCGGAATAGTCCCTTATTCCGGAAGTTTCTAATTCCTAACTTCTTTATTATACTAAAGTTATCGAAGGACTTGTCTTCTCGCTAGTATAAGGAAAATATCGTAAATAATATCCTCGCTAACTGTTTCGAAATGCCGATCCGCTACTTTTATTACGAATAGGCCGGTAAATCCTATAAGGTCGATCTTCGTTCCGGTCGCTACTCCGAGTATACCTTATATAGCTAGTCCTATAATATATAAGTTACTTATATAGAGTATAAGAAAATCCGGAAGGCGCGCCTAAAGATAGCTAAAAATCTTAAGGCGGCCGAAGAGGAGGAGGACCTCCTTACGCGGAGGCTTTTTAAGTATCGCGTAAAGGTCCGTCGCTTACGTAAGTCGCTACGTATAAAGGAAGATTAGGAGGTATAAGCTCTTAAGGTAGAGGAAGCCTCTATCTAATAGGCGGAGGAGCTTAAAAGAGAGCTAGGTTCCTTACCTATAGAGCCGATACTATTCTCGTTGCCTACTAACGAGCCGTTTCCCCTAGATAGCCGGTTATAGATGTCCCCTTATAACTAGAGTCGTCTAGATAGGATATCCTAGCCTGTCTCTAAAATAGTAAAATCCCTAGTAGGAGTGCCGAGAATCTAGTATCCTAAAGGGATATATTCTAAGTATTTCTCGTCCATTTTATATTCTAGCTAGTTAGTCTAGTAGTATAATTCTTAGCTATAAAAGACATAATTGCTAGGTACGCTACTAGAGTCCCTACTCCTCGAGCTATACTACCCTAGGTATTAAGAACTCTAAGGCGCTATAATCGATAGAGTCTAAGAGGTCGTAGGTTTAATTCCTATACTAGCTATTTCTTTTTGTCTAGTTTTAGTATTTTTTAATTATCTGCTAACAGTTCTATAGGTTTCCTTTTAGTTCCTAAGTGTTTTCTAAATATAGGTATTCTTTCTACTTAACAAGGTATTTCTAACCTTGCTAGTCTAGGATCTTCTCGACTTTAAACTCGTTTTCTTCCTTAGGTTAAAAGTAAAATGTTTCTTAATATAGTGTTTTAGCGTCTATAGGTTCTAGTATAGAGATATAGAACACTAGGTAGATTTTTGCGTCGTCCGGTAATTTAAGTCGGTAATTAACTAGTCCTTTAGGCTTATTAATTAAAAATAGCCCGACTTTAACGTAGTCTAGTAGTTTCTTAGTTGATCTCCGGGTTCTTAGATTCTTCGTTAGGAGGTAGACCTTATCCCCCTTTTTTAGCTAAGGTGCTATTTTTCGTTTAGTATTATACGGTCCCGTAATCTTTTGTTAAGACTCGGCAATTGCCTTTTGTAATTGTTTATATACCTGCTTTAAGTCTTCTAAAGCGACTATCGCCTTATCTGTATATAGATACTATAAATACCTTTCCCCGAATAGCTACGGATGTTTCCTAAAATTAGCGAAGAATAGTGTTTCTTTCGTAGTCTTAGATTGTTAATTGTTTAGTACAAGTTGTGCTATAGGCAATAGCGATGCCTAATTGTTTTATACGTAGTTAACGTAGTATCGTAAGTATACCTCTAAGGCCTAGTTCTTAATTTCCGTTTAGCCGTCTATCTATAGGTA